TGTTTGGGGAGCACCTCAAGGCCTGTTTGGGGAGCACCTCAAGGCCTGTTTGGGGAGCACCTCAAGCCTTTTTTGGGGTGCACCTCAAGCCTTGTTTGGGGAGCACCTCAAGGCCTGTTTGGGGAGCACCTCAAGGCCTGTTTGGGGAGCACCTCAAGCTTTGTTTGGGGAGCACCTCAAGCTTTGTTTGGGGAGCACCTCAAGCCTTGTTTGGGGAGCACCTCAAGTTTGGGGAGCACCTCAAGTTTGGGGAGCACCTCAAGGCCTGTTTGGGGAGCACCTCAAGCCCTGTTTGGGGTGCCCCTCAAGCCTTTTTTGGGGAGCACCTCAAGCCCTGGGACCGGTTCTGGGCCCCTCAAGCCAAGGCAGATGTTGAGGGGCTGGAGTGTGACCAGGGAAGGGAACGGAGCTGGGAAAGGGTCTGGAGAACTCCCAGGGGAGCTGGGGGGGCTCAGCCTGGAGAAAAGGAGGCTCAGGGGGGACCTTCTGGCTCCCAGTTCCCAGGAGGAAGGGCAGAGCCGGGCGGGGGGTCGGGCTCTGCTCCCCAGGGACAGGACAGGAGGAAACGGCCTCGAGCTGCCCCGGGGAGGGTCAGGTTGGCCTTGAGGAGGAATTTCCCCCCGGAAAGGGTGGTCGGGCACTGGGAGGGGCTGCCCAGGGAGGTGGTGGAGTCCCCACCCCCGGGGGTGTCACCAAGGCCCTCGGTGACCAGGGTCAGTCCGAGGGTGGACTCGCTGCTCCGGGGGGTCTTTCCCGAGCCCAGCATTCCGTGATTCCCCCATTCTCCCCCGGCAGCTCAAGGCCGTGCACGAGCAGCTGGCGGCCCTGTCCCAGCCCCAGCAGAACAAACCAAAGAAAAAGGAGAAGGACAAGAAGGAGAAGAAGAAGGAGAAGCACAAAAAGAAGGAGGAGCTGGAAGAGGCCAAGAAAAGCAAAGCCAAGGAGCCGCAGCCCAAGAAGGCCAAGAAGAGCAACAGCAACAGCAGCACCTCCAGGTGAGCCCTTCCCTTCCCTCCCGGCCCAGATCCTCGGCAGGGCGGGGTTTCCCCTTCCCTCGTTAGCATAATTAGCGCAGGAGCCTTAACGAGTGACCCCCACCCTCCCCCGGAGGGGTCGAGATCTTGGGCACTGTCCTTCTCTGTGGCTGCTGAGCAGGTTGAGCTGAGCCTTGGGTGTCCAGGAGCAGGTTGAGCT